ACAGACAGACAGACAGACAGACAGACAGACACACGGAATGACAGACGGAATGACATATGTATAGATTAACCCAATCTTAAATGTTAATGTTTAATTTTTTTTTTTTAAACCATTACATGTTATGTTATTTAACAGTTGTATTATACAAACAGTAAACTAAGTAGGAATCCTTCAGCATAAAGTCGCGTGTTGGGGACTAATGAGGCATCGACTCAATTGGAATATAAACAAGTGATCCCTTAATTTATGTCCACATTCTTTCTAATTGCAATTATATACACCGTTAATGTCTTTGCTAACAATATCCGCAGGTGCATTAGTGCAGAGCGTTTGTCACGTGTTCTCGTAAGCAATAGTCAACCTTGGATAACCATGGTTATAATACAAGAATCCACGCATCGGTTTGCTCGCACTGTATTATTAACGCGATTATTATATCCTGGTATTACGATTAGAAATCAATCAATATACTAGTTGATTAGATCTCACGTTTCACATAGACATCTTATACATGATTCGTGCATGACTTTTTACCGTATAAAATCACTATTATTGCTAATTATTTTTTCAGCAACAATGCAAATAATCGCTATTTTAGTAATTAAAAAAATAGGTATAATATGTAATATTATAGATGTATATACGATTGCTGTTATAAATCAACTTACAGTACAGTGCCCGGATGTGTGACCTTCGTGGGTTAAGCACGATGTATTTGGATAATGATCGGAATTATTATGATATGCCAGTGTGCACAGTGACATTTCATATTTAGATGAGGAAACTGTGTTCGCTTCACTCATTTTACACACCGGATTGATGTAAGAAAATACAGAACGTCGACGATAAAATAGCGCGCATAAACGTTATTGACATGGAATCAATTACGCAGTGATTTCTGTAACAGCGTTAATTTACATAGTCAGTTTTTTTCGGAATGACCTGACGGAACGTGCCTATGGCAAATATCCGAGAACTCGTGGCTCCGTAGATTCAGCCTCGTTCCCAATCATTGAACGCTCCCTCGTTTCCGTCGTGTATAATTACTCTCGTTACATAGTCTAGTCTAGTTTGAATTATGTGAGCATCGTTTCAATTTTAGTGCACGTATATTATAAAAATAATCTCACAAAAGCCGTGAAAATGCTCGTTTTGTGATTGTTAGCATTAATAAATTTATATATGATGACATATGTTGCTAACATTTCGCTGAAAAGCTGTGAATATCTGAATTTATTTTGTCATTGCTAGCGAGAGCACAGCTACATGAAACATTTCCCCTTTTCTGTTTTAACAAGTGTGCGCTCCAGGCTACCTGGCCAATTGAACCCGAATTGCGCATGCGCCATACAGTGATAAACTTGTCTATATCGTATCGTGAAATTTCTGTTCTCATTAAAATCAAAACTGCAAAATAGTTCTCCATGTCTAAAAAAAAAAGTCAATTTGACCACGATTTATGTACCTGGTTCTGGTGCTGGTGAGAATGCACGTGTCTGAAAAGTAATTCCTTTTAACAAATCTCTGAATGTAATCGCACTAATAAGATCTTCACAAAAAAGTGAAAGATTCGTTTCCACATCAATCACGCGTTCACTTTAAATCACACTGCAACCCTTTTCCCTTATTAGCAATTTAAATCGCTAAATGCCAACATGCCAACTCATATTGTGCGTATTGGTTGATGTTCAGTTTAATACAGAATTCTAACGGCAGTGGAATACCGCGTGTAGGACCGCGTACGTAAATGGGACCCCGATTCACGTGTATACAAAGAAGCTCGTTCATCAAAATCTTGGATAATAAGATCTCCAAGTTTTTTTTTATATTAAGTATATCTCATCTTACTCGGTTGGTTATGGTAGGACACGGTCCAGTGTAACCCCCAAATCTGAACGTTTTTTTTTTTTTTTTTTTTTTTTTTTTTTTGAGTATCTTTGTTGTCTATCTTGGCTTGCAAGTTGAAAAGGCGAGTGCTAACAATATACAGTATATCGGATGTTTTTTGGTTTTGTCTTTTCCGCTGAAAGCGTATTTCATGTTTGGAGACTATGTGACAGAGTTCTGTGATTATCTTAGCACCCTAGTGTCATTATTCCAACTTTGAATAGAATGCGCCTCTCAGGCGTCAGCCATGCGGGCCCAAAACCACAGAACACAGACACTTACGTACGTTTACTAGTACCTAGACCATTGTTCGCCCCAATGTCGCATCCGTAAGCGAACTTGACGTTCAATTCCAGCTCCAGGTGCAACTTGATAATGGCTTCAGTGCAGCCGCTATTTGTGGCCACATCATTGTCAGTTACGCTAAAGTACTACGGTATGAGTGTGACCTACATAAAAAGAATTTCCGGAATGACGCCAACAAACAAGTACTGAATGTTAGTAGTAACAAACACGTGGTCCCCTTCATACTCTAACACAGATGAAATACACTAGAAGGTACTTTGTAATTTTACCAAACTAAATAATTTCTTTACGCAATTGTTACAATTGTTTAATAATATTCAACTTATATTTTTGTAACAACGTAGGATCTTGTATGAACACGTAAGAACGTCCCCCGGGTCGCCTCGTGGTCAACGACTGGCATCTGCCATATACACGCCTTAAATAAATCAACCGCAAGTCATCCTTACACGCGGGTCGGATAAAATATATTGTTTTGAACTTCAAACTATTTCTGTCAATGTGTTATGTAAAGTTATGCGTATATTATGACCGGTACATTCCGTAGTCCGTGCCCACCGCCTCGCCGAACTGATGACACTACAGCCCCATCATGCCAGTGTTGTTTACGCGGTATTCTCAATTACGAAGAACTTTAACTCATAACACGGATTTATCATTCCGTCGTTAAACAGCGATGTATCTAGCTACGGGCACCGCGTAAGTGCACTGCGTTGGAGCGACAAGCTGTTCATATTAAAGCGTACTTGATACTGTTAGCCTCGGTAAACTACTGGGGTTCTTAGTAGTGTGGACGGCGCAGCGTGTAGTAATTTGCTCACCGCACTTTGTGTTGAAACTTGAAACAACCACACAGTAGTAAATGAAAAACGAGCCGTGTTGTAAAGGACATTGCAACAATTTCTCGATCGACCCCTTTCACACGATCCACCTCCGACGTGACGGCGCAATCGACTTCTGGTGCCTGGAAACGATGACATCTCGATTAAAGTACGTTGGCATTGAGTCTGGACGTGACAAAAGTAAATACACCGGGTCAATAAAATATATAATAATTACACAAATGGGATGTTTAAGATTTTTGGTTTTCAGTGAGGGGTAAAGTTCGCACTAAATATTTTGTTTGTTTATTCTCTATATCCGATGGCATGAAGTCGCGCACCCAGTCGATTTATCTTCGTTTCCGGTACGAGCGTTCTTACGTGCCACGTGGACAAGGACAGATGAGGATTTATTGAGCGCGTAAATAACTATTAATAACACCATAATATAAGGTAGAACAGGGACCTGATTGTGTCGATACATGCGCTGATATACATTTTATCTGGAGCGCATAAAATCAATGTTCATCAGTGGTCAATATTGAGATTTCTGACACATCGACCACTGTGGAGCCGCAATTGAATAAACCTCTCACATAAATAGAATGGTTGGTTAAACCGCTCCAGGCGTCGTACCGCATCGTGTTAAATATGAATGCCATACGATGGGAAAAGTACGTGGAAAATATTTTGTATGTTTACACGAAATTTCCGCAAGTACGTGTTCGACCTGGCTTGGTTACTGCCGAGATAGTGCATTCAATTGTCATGGCAAATATGACCGTTCAGAATGGAAAACGGTTACACTGACACTGACCTACGCAAACGCGCATGCGATTTCAATTTCTGATACGTACTACTAATTGAAATTGGATTGACCATAAGAGACCTTTTTTTCTTCAGTTTGCATTTCTTTATCAAGTGTGAGACTTAATTTATAGATATATTTTTTGTCTGAAATGTTTCCTTTTAAAACTTTTTTTTTTTTCTCTGCAGATTTCTTTTATTTTCAAAATCCGCCCGGAATTTCTAATGGTTCTTCGCTTACACATACTTTTGTAATCTTTCTGTCTACTGTATCTTTAATCATCGCATGATGCGAAAAATATTGCCCACTCCTCTCAGAAAATATATACGTTGTCCATGTGACGTCATCGTGATAATAGTCTTATCAGTTTTTAATGCAATGTCAGTTGTACAATTCACTGATTTGTCGATACTTGTTTATGCTCACGGTCTGTTTAAATCATTTCCATTCGCGATGAAATACTATTTATTTCTTCTGTCGGTGACCGAGATGCAATTTACAAAGCACGTGTTACACATTGCATTGCTATGGCAACGACATTCACGATCTAAATACCTTGGTAAATATATCTATTATGACAATCACAATGGCGTTAGCGCGATGATTGAGTTTGAATTTTATGCAAATTAGTCTCATTTATGGAAGAATTTCCGTTTTTGCAAGCGCTCACGTAATTTTGTTTCAACAAAATAGACACTCATAGTCGCTTGTTTGTAGCGTTCAGGGTACGGTCAGACTAATCACTTGTATAAATTATAACCACGTAATGTCTGATTGGCGCGTGATTTCAACGAATTGTACGAAGGCCAGTAAATTTTACGTTGTCTCCTGTATGTCTGCGCTTCACCGCCTTCTGCACGTCGTAGTCTCCGGCTTACTAGCGACGTAAAACACTTATCGCTTCAATCGCTGACTGGCTACCGTTTGATTACTGGAATGTTGTATTCGGCTACGCATGAGTGAACACGCTAGAAACAATGAGTTTCCAAATCATCGAGGTCTCTGTCGCCGGCGTACTCGACGTCAACATGCATTCTGGAGACATTTGGAAGAAATTAGTACCATCGTTCGCGCCTCACTTTACAAACGTATGGCAAGCATTAATTTCACGCAGCTTCGTGATAGACGTAAGGGGTCTCAAATAGATTTAAATTATTTACAATTCACGGGGCATTGACTTATTCCTTTTAAAGGCAATGCGAATTACTTTTGAAATTATTTGCAGACCAGAAACTTGATCGTGGTCGTTGACCAAATTGTTATAACTTCCAACGGTTTGACGGATTTACGTATTGCAGAACACGGTGCAATTGTCGAATGAACGGACAATCAAGGCATATTCACGTTTTGAACGACACATCTAATTATTGTCCACGAATCAATTTGAAAAACATTTGACGAAGAAACTTACATTTTACAACTAAGTGTTTTATTACTTGCGATGAATCAACTAAAAAGCATGTTACAAAAAACAGAAAAAATACACAAGGCAGAGTGCGCAATGGAATAAGACTTGCCACGTGCATGTTTGCATGATAACTTCGCATGACAAATATTGTTTGACAACTGACAATATTGCGATATTTCTAGAGCACGCATGTTTATTACATTCCGGTCGTAGTCAGGTTAGTCTCCTTACTCATATTGGCTTGTGATCGATTCTCGTCATATCCATATCGAACACGACGCAGCGCGACGTCCGAGGTGCTTTAGTAGCAGATTATGAATTCACTCTCTCGCAACTGAAGTGCAAGTTCATTCTTGGTAATGCAAAACCAAACTTACAATGAAAACTCCCACAATGAAAACCCACTCTTAAGTCAATAAGCATGCTCTACGTTAACGTCCAATTACCGCTATGGTTAGTTATTGCTCTCATTTCAACACTTTACACAATAAATCAATTTGCCGTTTAACGTGAATTCGTGTTTTTTTCTCTCTCTCTCACGAGAAGCTGATAATGCTAAATTCACGAAGCTGCCCAAATGTGCAGAGACATCTAAGCTCGACTTTTTGTTCACTGATAATGGTTTTCACTTTGTCCTTTATGAACCCGTGTCCATTACAAAGTTGTTCAATCCCTGTACATGTTTGCTTATCGTGGATTTTAGTCAAAGAAAGTATAACCACCACGTGGGTTATCGTCTGAATCTAGCTCGCCCACTGTTCAGTCACTTTAAAAGTACTAAGTTACTAAGTTATTTCCACGCTTAAAGGACGGCAGTCGTCATGCCACGTTCTGTTCGATATGGGACTCATAGCGACGTATACAACGCGTGTAAAATATGTTTATATGAAATTCGAATACGCGCTGCGCGACGACTACCGCGCTTTAATAATATGCTATACATATTTGATGGTGGTCAGTTTTGATGAAGTAAGTAATCTTAACGCTATATTCCCCTCTGGAAAATTACCTATTGCTTGTGGGGTTCAATGTTTTTTTTTTAAGTAATGTTATTCTGTTTTAAAATCATTCCCGATACGCCACAAACGTTGGTTGTTTGCAAATTTGGCGTTTCGTGTTACCCAAAATTCAGCTTGATTACATGAGACGGACAACTTCCGGAATGAATGACCTGTTTTTTTAATGTTCTGCCGTTTTTTTTGTGGGGGCGGAGACTGAATTGAGAAAAAAAAATACATTTTGAGAATCGTAAAGGCGATTTACGTATTTTAACATAACAGGCGCTCGTTAAGTCGTCGCGGCGCGTCGTATTCGACATGGGTCGCATACAACGCGTGTAAAATACATTGTGCGTTTACGCGAAATTCGAACGCGGACAGCGGATACCTCCGTTCTTTAATAATCGGCGAGACCGAAGTCCGTTAAACAAACACACACACTCGTATGATTAAATTACTGAAAGCAGCTTCCATAGTCCGCCAAACATTGTGCAATATGTCACATGCCAGCCCGTCTAATAAGCCACTTTGCGTCAGACGCAGTGGGGCGTTCAGTGCATTTATATATCTGATAAATTTACCGAGTAAATTGAGCACACTACGATAGCATTAACCAATCTTTGGTTCAACAAAATAGCATGAAATTTTATTCATGTAAAACTAGTCGTCAGATCCAAGCACGAACGTCACATCGTTATCTGGAACGGCTTCTGCAAAACTGCGTGTCATTGTTGTGTGGGATACCACGCACAATTTGAATACTCATTTATTTATTAATGATTTTCAAGGTTTCCAATGACTTCCGTACTATAGTAAAGTAAAGTTGCAGTTAGAATAAAACGTGGGATGATTACCTTCCAGCTAAAAGCAGATATGCCAATCTCACGACTGTGGGAAGCTGGCATCATAATGGGCACTTTCGGATGGGATAGTGACGGTTTCTGAATGATATTAGAAATAATTAATCTTCCTCGTCCAGGCACCAGTTTAATCGTAACAAGGCTTAATTGGGAACATTTGGATACGGGCATGAACTAACAGTTATGGAAACCAGAAGCAGGCGTAATAGGATTACTATTTAATATCCGAAAGAAAGACGCAGCTTCTCTCTGAATATCCAGGGTAGTAGACACGTTCTAGGCTATGGCTTAACAGGAAAGCCTTGAAATTTCGAAATGTTGTTATCTCACTGCTTTTTGATGTTTGTGCACAGCAAAAAATTAATTTCTCATAACTCTGGGGTTTTCTGCAACTTGCTAAAACGCTAATAATGGCCTTCACTATTAAGTACAAGGGCATAGAACACACATACACACCCAATAGACACGTTTCGAGTTTCGCTGTTACCTTAGAAACTTGCGCGCCCTGGCTCCAATTTGGTCTGCGCGGAGCGGTTTATTTTGCCGCGTAATCAGAACGCCAGAAACCAGGAAAACTAGCGAATACATTGCGCGAGCTAAATTTCAAGTCCCCCATTCACGCACGGAAACCGACTGATGGCGCTATAAATCGAAACTCGTCTATTGGATGGTCAAACATTCTCAAATACGGAAGTTATATACCATATTTGGACAAGAACAATTACATCATAAAAGATTGTCAAGTCCGTTCTCGTTTAGGACTATTAACTTTTACTCGACTGGTCCGTTCCCGTTTAGGACTATTAACTATTACTGGACTGGTCCGTTCTCGTTTAGGACTATTAACTTTTACTGGACTGGTCCGTTCTCGTTTAGGACTATTAACTTTTACTGGACTGGTCCGTCCTGGTTTAGGACTATTAACTGTCACTTGACTGGTCCATCCTGGTTTAGGACTATTAACTGTCACTGGACTGGTCCGCCCTGGTTTGGAACTATTAACTGTCACTGGACTGGTCCGTTCTGGTTTAGGACTATTAACTGTCACTGGGCTGGTCCGTCCTGTTTTAGGACTATTAACTTTCACTGGACTGGTCCGTTCTGGTTTAGGACTATTGACTGCCACTGGACTGGTCCGTCCTGGTTTAGGACTATTAACTGTCACTGGGCTGGTCCGTTCTGGTTTGGGACTATTGACTGTCACTGGACTGTTCCGTCCTGGTTTAGGACTATTAACTGTCACTGAGTTGGTCCGTCCTGGTTTGGGACTATTGACTTTCACTGGACTGGTCCGCCCTGGTTTGGAACTATTGACTTTCACTGGACTGGTCCGTCCTGGTTTAGGACTATTAACTGTCACTTGACTGGTCAATCCTGGTATAGGACTATTAACTGTCACTGAACTGGTCCGTCCTGGTTTAGGACTATTAACTTTTACTAGGCTGGTCCGTCGTGGTTTAGGACTATTGACTTTCACTGGACTGGTCCGTCCTGGTTTAGAACTATTAACTGCCAATGAGTTGGTCCGTCCTGGTTTGGGACTATTGACTTTCACTGGACTGGTCCGCCCTGGTTTGGGACTATTGACTTTCACTGGACTGGTCCGCCCTGGTTTGGGACTATTGACTTTCACTGGACTGGTCCGTCCTGGTTTAGGACTATTAACTGTCACTGAGTTGGTCCGTCCTGGTTTAGAGCTATTAACAGTCACTGGGCTGGTCCGTTCTGGTTTAGGACTTTTGACTGTCACTGGACTGATCCGTCCTGGTTTATGACTATTAACTGTCACTGAGTTGGTCCGTCCTGGTTTGGGACTATTGACTTTCACTGGACTGGTCCGCCCTGGTTTGGGACTATTGACTTCACTGGACTGGTCAATCCTGGTTTAAGACTATTAACTTTTACTAGGCTGGTCCGTCGTGGTTTAGGACTATTGACTTTCACTGGACTGGTCCGTCCTGGCTTAGGACTATTAACTGCCACTGGACTGGTCCGTTATAGGTTAGGACTATTAACTGTCACTGGACTGGTCCGTCCTGGTTTAGGACTATTAACTGTCTCTGGACTGGTTCGTCCTGGTTTAGGCCTATTAACTGTCACTGGACTGGTCCGTCCTGGTTTAGGACTATTAACTGTCTCTGGACTGGTTCGTCCTGGTTTAGGACTATTAACTGTCACTGGACTGGTCCGTCCTGGTTTATGACTATTAACTGTCACTGGACTGGTCCGTCCTGGTTTAGGACTATTAACTGTCTCTGGACTGGTCCGTCCTGGTTTAGGCCCATTAACTGTCACTGGACTGGTCTGTTCTGGTTTAGCACTATTAACTGTCACTGGACTGGTCTGTTCTGGTTTAGCACTATTAACTGTCACTGGACTGGTCCGTCCTGGTTTAGGCCTATTAACTGTCACTGGGCTGATGAGTACCCGACTATCACTGAGCTAGTCCGTCCTGTCCTAATCATAACCACTGTCACCTGAAATCTGGCTAGTCAGTCTTGGTTTAGCCTGATTCGCGGTACTAACAGGTTTACCAAAGTTTGAATTTAGTAACAGCCATTGGTCTGGTCCGTCTTTGGTATAAGCTTTGTCACTGACAATGGCTGGCCTAGTCCGCCCTGGTTTAAGTTTTGTAACTATCCCTGGGCTGGTTCGTCCTAGTCACTGTCTTTGGGCTGGCTTGTTTTGGTTCAAGTCTTTTAGTTGCCATTGGGCTGGCCCTTCATTCAAGGCTACAATGGTCTATATTGACTATTGTCGACAAAGGTTTACAAAACCATCTATTCAGTGCCAAGTGACCGTCCTGACGCTGTGATATTCTTTAGGTCCAGGCAATCAGATCAAAGCACAACATGCAATATCACTAGCCATGGGTGTATTTTCAAAAACGCCTCCTTTTCTCCCTAAAGAAACGAACCTTATATGTCCTTCTTATGCTGCCACAATCGAAGCTATAAGGGTTGTTTTCTAGTAGGAAAACTAGGTTAGAGAATTTTCTTGATTGATTTTCCTCGTTTTATCTTTTGGCACCAAAATGTCTACTGGACGAAATTCCAGACTGATTCTTATAGCCATGTACGGTGGCGGGAGTTAGACAATCACGTGACCATAAGCTGAAATGAACGAGTCGTCCACTCACGCTGTATGTCACAGGTAGTATTTGAGTGCTAACTGGCCAACCTAAACAACTACCGTGGCTTGGGGGTCTAAAAATAACTGGCAGATCGGAAACGTTGCCACTTTCACTGAGAATAATTGAATAAATAGAGCTGTACTGGAAAACATAACGAGAAAAAGAAGAGAACGGAATTCCGTTCATTCACGGAATGCCGTTAAGTCGTTTTTTATTTGCTATAATTTCTTTAATTTCAAATGAAGCACGGGTTGTCATGACTACAAACGGTACAGTTCCACTAGCGTCTTGGTCGAATCTGCTCCACCAGTGGCCTTGGTTGATATTAATATACATACTATAATATCGGGGAATCTTTGTCTCATAACAATCCCTTTGCATGATACCAGATGCCACCCGTGCTTTCAGAACAGTGAATCAATGTAAACAGCAAAATTATCAAAACAGTCATGATTTACTGAAATTTAAATAAAAAAGCAAATATTCAAATTTTTAGTCATCTTGATAAAAAAAACTATGGCAACGGGTGACTTTAAACTAGTCAGGTTCGGGTAATTGACTATACTTGCCTTGTTATTACCATGGCAACACCGCTACATTCTTCGATTATATTGTGCAAGGTATCTAAAATATAGTATTTCCATTAAATGACAAGGCACAAGATTATGACGTCATAATTTATAGATTCTGATTGAGTGGAACATCTTTGTAATCTGATGATGTTATTACTACTCGTGACGTCATGATTCTCAAAAAAGTATTTTCTTTTTTTTTATTTCATTAGTAGTTTTACCCACTGCGTTTTACGACGCAAATCAGTCGACATCACGAGGTCTATGTGAACCAATTATTACAGGTAACCGCAAGTGGGATTTCAACCAATAGCACTGGGACTGTTAAATCATACAATCTTTTATGTTCAGAAAAAGACAGCTTTCTTTATCGCGATTAATTTATAATTTATTTATAGTTGTACATGAAATAATAAATTGACTGTACTCAATGACACACTGACTCATATTGTTGTTGGCGACAAAACACGATACAAAAGTTACACCTGGTGTTGCTTTAATTAAAATATTCCCGCCAAAAATTAATTTAAAGTGTATGTGTGCTTTTTTTTTTTTTTTTTTTTTTTTTTGCTTTTTTTTTTATCAAATCGGCGTTTTATCGTGAGAATTCTTGTAAATCCATACTTGATTGGCACATGCCTAATACGTGTAGTACAAGCGTGTTTCGGGGGAGGGGTGGAGGGGTGAAATATGTCTCCGTCTCGGTCCCGAGGCGTAGTTTGAATATCTGTAGTGTAACGACGTACTGCCCTTCTTGTTTTGATCAACAGCATTGTGTACCATCTGAAATCGTGACAGCACTAACACCTATCTTGTCACTATTATTCCGCTCCCCATGTTTACGGCAATGTCATTGGGAAATTCGGCATGAACTACATTGTTTGGGGCAGAATATAGGCGCCAAACTAGTCTGATTTCTACCCTCCTCTGTACGAACGGAGGCAGATCCCGCATTGTTTTTGGATTGGAACGCCCGGTCGGACTCAGTGAACTCAGCCGGGTCACGCCAGACCACACATGAGAAAAACGTTTTGACAGGACCATTGGTAGAAAACTATAGACCCAAACAAAGACGAGAATTCGTGGCATGCGGTAGTAATAAAGAAAAACCAATCACAAGTGATCAAAGATATGCAATTACTCAATCCGGGCCGTATTATGAACGGCATAGATTTACACTAGATCTGTGACGATGACGCTCGATAAAAAAAATGAAATTAGCAAAGTCATGTATGATTCAGATATAAATGATTCATCATCTTCTTTCCCATGAACCATTCATTTTTCGTCAAAAAGTTCGTCCTTGGTTTCCGACACGATGACAAAGCCGTATTTCCGATAGCTTGTACGCGTGCGTCCTTTTCGCATATGATTACTGTATACATTTGACAAATTCACTGTCAGCGTTTAGAGCTGCCCCGTCATGTAGAAAGTCAACCATCCACCGGTATGCCATTCGTGTTAAACCATTCGGAACCAAATATTACCCATTGTGAAGGCACAGTGCTGCGATAGTATAGTCTCACACGTGTTATCTTCTAATAAGCCCTGTTGTGAATTCGAGTCAGTTTACAGGTACCCAGCCGCCCTCGTCCGCCTCGCCATTCATAGAGCCTCGCCGCATGGGCGTAAACGTGTTTACAGTTTGACAAACAAAAGCGCGCAGTTCAATTTTAACGACTGCTATTCCACAATAGAAAAATTCCAACAAAAAAAAAAAAAAACGTCAAATTCCAAAACGGGTAGCAGATACTGTGATTGTTATTGCGTGATAATAAAAGATTGGGGATATTTATACAAACCTAATGGTACACTCCTATTAGTTTTTTGTCGGCAAAATCGATTTAAAAACTATTTGGGATGGCTCTTAAGCTTTGTTCTGTGCTGAGTAAAAGCACTGCGCGGGGTGGAATAGCTGTGGTCGAATGTTTATAGATTCTGCGTATATCGTCAATCCAATAAAATACTAGTGTATATACTAAAAATAGAAGAAAATCAATTGAAACGCTTAATATAGATGTTCGCGTAAATTTGACAGATTGTGATAGGTTACTAAGACATTGCTGCCATCCGCTCCCCCCAGGAAGAACAGCCACGGCGTATATCTCGTCCCATTGCATGCACAACCGAAACAATACGAACACGGAGAACAATAAATTGCCAGTCTGTCAGCATTTGTGTAGACGTTATATCACAGTGATGTCACTGGGGCCGAGTTGAAAAAAAAGTCGAGTACTGACTTACCTTCATCGTGTTTTGAAGTTTTTCAGTGCCGTCCGTGTCGTCGTCCCACGGCTGACGTACACGCATGCATGGATGCCAAGAACTGTTGTAGTACGGAACTACGATGATAGCTATGGGAATCGTACCGTGCGGTATGCGAGATTAATCGTGAGTCGTTCGGATCGGACTGTCTCTGTCGCTACTCACTCATACTAAGATAGCAATACAAGTCAACTTCGACATTCAGGGTTGTAGAATACAGCTAGCTATGTTTTCATTGGTCGGCACCGCCTACACATATCTTGCCTCCGCAATACTCGCGTAAACTCAGTGCTTGTATCTGCAACTAAATTTCCCAAGACTGTATCCCTCGCACCAGTCGAAGACGCGTGACAATATCGGCTCCGCATCAATTATCTATCACCAGTTACAGCACTGCCGATACTCGATCCGTATCTTGTCGGTCTAGCAAGGTGCAGTGCAATATTCTTGGGTATGTTGGTCCAAACGCGATTAAACAACACGTACGAATGAAACGATTCCCCACAAGATTACGCGCGGTGTACATATACTGTGGGTACTTGGTTACAGGGGTACAAACAAAAACACGATTTCGGGTTGCATTCACAGCCGATGCTTGCTTTACGCCAAGTCAATTGAACCCGGTGAAAGTAGCACGTACATGTCATATGAAACGGTTATAATTCACATTCCACTGTGTCATCTCAATCCCCATACTTCTCAAACGCAGCTAATCACATCGCGTTAAAACAGTCTAAAACAAGCGTGCCGCCACGTGCGTGCGTTAGTAGTTACGCCCCGGTGGCATTCAGCTTCCGGGTCGCATTGATAATTCAAGGTAGATGCAAGAGGTATTTGGCTAACGAGAATACCAAAACGCTAACAGATTCCGTCGCGTCAGAAGCCAGTAGCAAAATACGATTCCTTTACAACCGGGAAACACCTAAACCACATCCGCCGACCCAAAAATGACACACCCACGATAGAAGGGAATACCACAAGTGCAGGATAAATCAGGCTGGACACAAGGTCGACCAGGCATTAATTGAGCCAAATTCAGGAGAACAGACAGTTTCGCGAGCGCTGCGCTGAGTGAATGAGTCGCGTATAGTGGCTATAAAGTAGTGTGTACTCGTTTGTTTATATGAAAACGTAGTTCAAACGATGCCGTCTTCACAGTGTCAACAATAACAATACCACTCTAGAGATAGCGAGTACAGAGTGGATCGATATCAAATAGTCACTAAAGTAATGTCATGATTTACCATTGTCATTTTTCAATTTATTTATTTTTTATCGAGGCGAGAAAAACTCTCAGACAGTAAACAAAAAACAAGAAGAAACAATATAATGTGAGTCATTGAGTGCGTTTACAATGCGTCAACCAGTTTAGAAATACAAATAACGGGAATCGCGAGGTGTTCATTTGAGTAGGATAATAAAATAATAAATTTATTTCACC